TCTTTTTAACCTATTTTAATAATTTATATATTATACTTGTCTAATCATATTCCATCTATCTCAAAACAATTGTTGTTTTTTAACTTTTTTTATATATAAATTAAAGATTTGACAATAATTTATATATTTACCTATATTAACCTTAAAAAAATGCTCAAGGATACTTTTTGTTATAAGATAATTAATTAAAATAAACAAATAATGATAGGGTTAAATTAGAAATAAATATTTGTCTATTTTAAAAATAAAAAATAAAAAAAGTTACAATTATTTTAGAACAGAGGGAGTACTAGGTTTATTTTGTATAAATTTTTTTTTCTTTTCTTAGTAATTAATGAAATTTAAAGCTGTTCAAAAAAAATTTTAATGAAATTTAAATTTAGTGAAAGCAATAAGGAGAGGAAAGGACTTAATTCATCATGAATCATATAGTACCATGTGGAGAGGAAAGAGGTGGATTAGGACACACCTAACATAACTAAAAAATTATTAGTCATATCTCAAAGCGTACAACTGTGTCAACCAGTCAACCTTGCCATTAATTATATCATTCTGGCAACTGCTATCTACTTTTGGAATGAACCACCAATAAGCAACTTTTCCAAGCATAAATCATGACCACTTTCATCATGAAACGAAAGCTTACCCAACGTATCTCTCTATATGCATTAAATTTGTAAAGCCACAACACGAGCAAACAAGAATTCCAGCATCAGCATTTTTCATGATGGCTGTAATCAAAAGCATTTTTTTCATGATGATCTGATCAAGAAGTAATAACACTAAAAAGGCTCCGTGTTGTAGAATCCAATCTTCCCCAAAATGTTACCCATATGTTTACAACTTTGAAAATAAAAAGCCCCTGTTTGTATATACATGCCTTTTCATTTTGAAAACAAAGCCTCAAAAAATGAATACTGGAGACTTGGAGACATCTTTAGACATAAGGCAACAGTGAATGAGCAAAGTCAAAAAGGGGTGTTTTCATATTGAGATTAGTATAATTAGGCGTCTAATCTCAATCATAAAATAAGTGAAACTCTATGTAAGAGTGTGTTTGTTTTGAATTTTTAAAAATAATTATCAATTGTTGACTTTAATAAAAAAAGGTTAAATATTTTTAAATTGTAAATAACAATGATTATCATTTGTCAGATTTTGACTATCAATTATCAATTGTATCAAAAAACCTAATCTAAACAGCCCTGAATCCCTGCTAGTTTCCATCCCTCATATGTTTGGAATCGCGGTACCATTGATTGTCTCAAAATTTTTGTTGCTAAAGCATCCTCATTTTTATTTTATTATTTATTTTTTTAATTCTTTTTTATCGGGGACAAAGATAGGTTTTTGTGTAAATAGCAGTTAGCAAACATAGGGAGAAGGCTCCCGTAGCCTCACCCTCCTCGTTGGCATTCCTAGTATTTGAAAATATGTGGGTCTCAACCATATATAAAGTTCTAATTTAAAGTTAATTAATTATAAATAAAGTAACATATATATATATATCATATTTAAGTCACATGTTTTTTTCTCTTATTTCTCAAAGCGGGATCTCCTACTTTAATAGCACCTAGCAATAGGTTAAAA